AGCACATCTGTTCATGGCCGTGCCATCGCCTCGGGACTTCGGTCTGGTGGTGGGTAGAGCTCGCTTTCCAACAAAAAAACTACGGGTACGCAGATCGGTTCAACCGTACGGGTTCATGACGGAGCAGGCTCTGCTCCAAATGGCAAGAAACCAGAGAACCGGCAGTGACAGGAGGAGGCGCAGCAGAATGATACCAGAGTACGTAAAAAAAAAACGCTGAGAAACCAGGGGCGTGAAAGTGCGTGTCACACACGATAGGAAATAGGGTCCTATTTCAAACTTGGCCTCGCGACACAGACTGCCGGAGGGAGCAGTCATCACGCCGTTGCCCGGAAAGCTTGTGTGCAACTTCGGCAAACGTCGGACCAGTTGCCCGTTGTCCCAGCAGACGACACACGGTGCGTTGTTATCGGCAACTTCAAAACCAGTTTTGGATGAGCGCACCACGATTCGCAGCTGGACGAATTCAGCACACAAAAGGCGAAATACAGCATGCGGGGCGCTTGAGTATTACCTGCACACGCGTCACGTTGGCGAGCAGCTGGAGACACAAGTCGCGCATGAAGGGTATACACTGCTCGTCCGACACTGCCTCCATCATCCTGGGATCACGGACAATTACGCAAAATATGTCAACCGGAAGAAAAAAAAGGCACGGCAATTGTTGTTGTTGTTGTTGTTGGTGGTGTTGTCGATGTTGCCCTTTCGGCTGCTGCTGAACAGGTGGTATAGCCTACCTATTGGCAGTTGGAACGTTGGGACAATTCGAATGTCCACGGGAGGCAACAACAAAGCACCCAGAAACGACCCTAGACACGGAACAACTTCAGCCGCGCAGAAACGATACACGCTCAAAGAGGATAGTGCTTTGGTATGAATCCATGGTCGCGTTTATCGCAAAAATGTCTACAGGTATTTCCCACACAAATGCTATTGTCCATCGTACCTGTTAACGATGCCAGCCTTGCACATGTCCTCGAGTGCAGCCACAGAAGTCTCCTCCGCGCTCACGTTGACCAAACATGATACCGCGTCCTTGCCAATGGTTCTGTGAAAAAAACGAACGAACGCCGGAAAGCACAACATCAACACACAAAACAATCGCCACCGACCTACATGTTGATTTTCGTTCTCGCTCATCCTGTGGTTGGGCAAATTAGTCGTGGATGTTCAACTTCTACTTTCGTGTTGTCGCGTACGTGTCCGGATGGACACCAGTGTTCATTGCTCCCACATCCACTTCCAACGACGTTCTTGCTCGTTGCACAGACCGAAGCAATCGGGAAAAGAGGCGTTTCGAAATCCCACCAAGCACACACCAGAAAACATCGAGAAAAACAAGATATCGACTTCTGCATCCGACATTCTCGGTATATATATCCTTGCCAAAAATAGAGAGATTAAAAAAACATGTTAGCCAACAACACTACTCCCCAACGGCGGTAGGTGTTTCCTCAGCACGCAGCCATCACGCCAGATATCAAACGCGTTAATTAGTTGTCCCGCATTTTTTCGGCCCTGAATAAAAAAAGTCGACAGGATTGGAAGCGAGACGATAAGCACTCACCCCACGTCCCCCGAAATGCGGCACAACCACTTCACGGCACCGCACTTGTGCAGGAGCGCCACGCCCTCCTTGGTGGCGGATGCCGCTACAGCTGTAGCTGCCGCGGCTTGCCTGGTGTTCCACGTCGCGGTGTTCCACGTCGTTGTAGAGGCATTTATTTTTCCAGAGGTAGCGATGCAAGAACGGGGGTCGAGATTGAAATCAACGGCGGCTTCGGCGTTTTTCCCAAGGAGTTTGTAGCGGTGCTGCGCTTCATTGGCGAAGGGGGGGGGGAGAATTGTCGTGGGGAACAGCAGTTATAGCAAGGGGCCCTCCGTCTGGAAACGTCGGAACACCCCTGGGCTATGTGTCAATCTTAGTCCCGGCCGGGGGGGGGGGGGAATGGGCCTTATATGTCCCCGGGCGGGGACATTTTGACAAAATCCCCGGGGTATCGACATTTTCGGGTGCTTTTTTCAGCGCGCGCGCGCGGGATCCCACACAGAGCTAGTGGAAATTATCGAAACACCTTAAGAATACGCGTTAATCCTGTTCCCGAGGTCTAGTGTATGGTGTAGGAAATAGTATGACGACACGAAGCCTACAAATGAAGAGAATTTTATGGGTTTTAGAATGCGGCACGAAAGTCTTTTCAATGAAGAGTATATCGGTTTTACTATGGACACACTAAATCCTATACAACAGACTGCTGCAAGCGTGCCGCCTAAACCCCCTATATTGCGTGTCAATCTTGGCCCGGGGGGTGTGGTGTAGGGGGGTGGTGTTCCACGGTTTCCACATGGAGGGCCCCTTGGTTGTAGGGAAATTACAGATTTAACGTGTCATTTGGACTTTGGAGCAGCTGGCCATCTGCTAGCATGGCGCCGAGGTCCTTGGATTTCCCCAGCCAAGCTGGTACGTGGGGGGTGGGGGGGGGCTTACCGAATCTCTGGTCGAGGGTCGCGCAAGAATGGCACCGTTTCTTCGATCAGCTCGCGAGTGATGCTGCCAGTGTTGCGTTCGCCATGATTGCCTTCTGTCTGCTCTCCCGTTGTCTTGGTACCTGCTGTTGCACCTTCGAAAGTCGACATTGGCCTGGGCCAATCAACAGCAACCACGCATGCAACGAAGCGCAGCAGAATGTGCTTTACTGATTGAAGTTTTCCGAGGCACACGACGCTGCGGACGTGCAGCAGTCGCGCACCAGTAGCCTTGTCCAGAGGACTCGAGCAAAAAAAAAAAAAACGACGCATTCGTAGCTTGCCCCGTGTATGTCTCCCTGAAGCCAAGGCCGGGACATAAAAGCCTTTGAGGCATGATGCATAGGCAGCCTGAAATGGAAACTGCTACTTCGAAGCTTTTATTTACTGAAGACCAGCTACTGTAAACTTCCAATGTAAACTGCTGTGTTGCACACAACTCCCATCGGTCGCCTTATAGCTGTTCCTGCTAAACGTGCCCCGCTGCCGCTGCCACCATGCCGCATGTGCGAGAGGACACCCGGCACACCCACATGCAGTCGCAACCGGCTCAATACATATCACTAAATCGAGCAGTTGGTGTAGGGACTTGAGAAGTCGTCGTTTATGATGCACCCGTAGTGTTGGGTATATAACCTGAGCTGGTATAAACAACGTAGCTGTGTACATTGACGATCGCCGATCGCCACCAGATTCAAACTTGAAATAATTCCGCCGCATGTGTCAGGGCGTAGAGCGTAGGTATGCACCATGGAAACGCATGCTCTAGCTCTCTGCGAGCATCAACACGCACTCAACCTCCACCCGTTGATGACTTCGATACACGTACAAGCTCTGGACGCAAGGAACACATCGGTGGGAGCAAGCAACTGGGCAAAACATCAACACCAGTGTGTAGAGAGAAGTTGTGTGGTTTGCGGGGCGCGGCACGAGACCGTGTTCTACGCTACAGCTGCTGCTGAGAAAAAGTCCCTACTCGATGCGAGAATGACTCGTGGACGACAAGCAGCTCGATCGCACCTTGTGTCCAGTGAAAGTAGTGCGCACAGGTCAGGCAGAGACCGGCAAGTGCTGAGTGCTGAAAGCAGGATGTTGGATGTTCAAAATGTTCGAGACCGGCTACCAAAGGTTTTCCACAACATTCAAGAGCGTGTTTCGTTCATGTTCAATTTGCAGATCTTCTCGGTCGGGAGCTCGGGAGCTGTCTCGGAGTCCGAACTCCGAGAATGGGAAGCAAAGCCTCGGGGCGCGCGCGAACGAGAGGGGCGAAGATAAAGAGAGACTTGTGTATTTTCAGAGAGACCAATGGATGTATCGCTTCCCCACTCCGTTCACGTCTCAACTCTGAATCTCTCGGTATGTATCCAATGTATCCAGAAAACGCTAAAAATACTAAGAGGAAACCTGCGCGCCGTTCGGATATTTCCCTTTTTGGAAAGTTATTTTGGAAGGAAAGAGAGAGCCTGTTTCCAAATGCAGGCAATAATACGTTGCCGTTGCGGGCGTGGGCGAGGACAGACAAAAAGGGTTGACGACGCGGATACACACACTGTCAGATGTTCATGCATTCATTGTGCATGTAGTGTTGTCTGACCGCTTTTTTCCCCGCCAACAACGTTTTGACAAGCCTTAGAACCATGGCCGACATTTTTCACGCATGACAAGAGGCTCTGATACATGTACGCGCCCGTACTTTTTGAGAACCTGGCAGCTATGCATAGGAGCTCCATCAACATAATTTTTTTTCGAGCAACAACAACTGCAAGCGCACATTTACGATGGCCGACTACCAATACCCGGGCCTCGCGCATTATTATGCAACGGGAGACATTCCCTACGATAGGGGTGCAAAAATACGAGCTGATTACGCGGTGGCTAAGGGTTGGCTGTAAGCAGTGGCGTGTACTGTGCAGGCAGTAGGGTTTCAACCCTACCGACTCACTATCTCGGCTTGGCTTCTCGGGGCGGTTATTTCGTATTTCGGCATGCTTTGGCGTCATTACACATCGTCGTTCGACCAATATACAATTGTAGGACAGGAGTTAGTTAACGTTCCATGCCCCATGCTAGGAGGCACGTCCACGGCCACCGCGCAATGTGCCGAATGATCGTGTCAATATAGAGGGGGCGGGAGGCCGAACCGTCCCGCCAGTTGTTCCCCGGGGGAGCAAAGGTCATCCATCTCTGACAGTCTAGACCTTCGACCCGGGAGCGCGATCGTTTCACGCACGCACGCTACCTCTGAGATACTTCCGCAGGGATGCCGGTTTTCGCGCGTCAATTAATTGCAGTTGGTGTCATCAATTACAGACCCGTTGATGATGTTTCTAGAGGTGTAGCAATTGCTGCAGACGATGCAAGCCGAAAGAAGCTGCCCACCGTCCGTGACGAGCGTTTCCAAGGCCCGTCTTACCCAGCATTGCGATGAAAGTGCCTCCCAACGAAATACGCGCGTGTTGGAGAGCAAGACAAGAGCCACTACTACCCAAACCCAACCGCTACGCCGACATATTCAAATCCATACGCATACTCGCGAACGTTGCCAAAGGTTTTGCGAATCTAACCCGATTTTGCTACCTTGAGGTTCTTTGCAGAAAAAAATAGCATGTCGGCAAAAAATATCTGATTTCTGTTCAAGCGCCTTTCTGGCCAGTACCGCCATGAGCAAGAGCAAGAGGACGGAATGCCAATATTCAGCGCATTTTCTTGCACATTTTGGCGAAATCACGCTATCGGTACATCCAGCGGAGGCGGACTCACAAAAGTGCACGTGTCCAACCTACACCCTCTTGTTCTAATCTATTGAAACACGTACACGACACAATGTTGCAGCGTCGACTTTCACAAAGAATTATCTCACCTCTTGGAGCAAGGCGACAGCTGCATGCATCGATTTTCTATATTGTCAGAATGCACGAACACGAGCCGTGCGTTTGCCGCAACGCTTCGAACGACCAATCAGCGACCAAACCAGAACTGCTTGGACGGTCAAGCGGCTAACCTCCCGATTGCAACAGGAAAATAACTACTGCAACGACAACGACAACGCAGTGTCGTGCTAGTGAACTCCTCCGAATCGAAAAAATACAACTACCGTTAACAACACTTTTTTCGGGTACATTCTTAACAGCAATGGCCACCTTGGTGGGTGACGGAGGGAAATTCAATCGAGCGAGGCCTAAGACTTGTACACTGAAACGCGACCGGCATGCGTATCGAGAACCCTGTGCGTCCAGCTACAGTAGTCATCTACACCAATTAAAAAAAAAAAAAACACCAAGAACATAGATGAAAAACACCACAATGATCGTCATTGTGGCGCACGCACCACCCTTGGAACCGCTTCGCAACTCTCGTGTGCTGGATGTGCCATTCGCCACATAATGTCGTGCCTCCTTAACTGGCCAACCCATCTTCCGTGCATGCCCGGGGAGAGCAATGTCCGAAGCGCCAGTCCATGGAGAAAGCAGGTAGACTGGCGAAAATGCGGCTCTCACCCGCTTAAGGGACGTCAGGTCTTCGATGAATACCTGTAAAGACACATGTGAGAGCGCCAAGAACAATGACGCTACTGTTGTCTGTTATTTCTTCAACAATAATAACCCTTCCGGGCTCTGCTCAGTACCTTCAAACATCTCCAATGACGCGGACGCCTGCCAAGGTCAATAATCAGATCTTGACTTTGACCGCCGGTCGGTGTGGACGTCGGCAGGTCAAACATGGCTCGAACCTTGGTGTGGCAGTAGCAACCAAAATAGCTTCTAGACGTAAAACGAGACATTCCTTCACGATTTCGTCGACACACCCACCAAAAATCGTATATTTGCAGAACGGGGTTCGAGACGGCAGGATGGCAGCCAGTCTACATCAATACAAACAGGACTGTAGCGGTATCATTGATGTAGAGGAACGAGGGGGCCATTGTACCTCGTCGCAAACGTACCACGTCACACGTCAAGATGGCACCGCGACAAACAGCCAGTGTATTGTCATGGTGATTGTCGCAGCAGAAAACCACGCCTACACCAAGGAAGTTCAATGTAACAAGGGACTGCTACCACCATCTGGTGGATTCCTGGTATGGATATGATAACTCCTCTTCGAGGTGCTTATCTGTCGAATTCTACGCGATGGACGCCCCCCGGGCAACTTCACAGTTCGAACCCCCGTAAGATTGATCTAGACGCATCGATAGGTTCCTGACTACTGTTTGAGTGCCGATCAACCTTTCGATGAACTACTGTCGGTTAGATCTATTCAACATACCCAACAGATCAGCCCAATAGTTCCAGCCCTGGACCAATACATCCTGCCCACCTGAGCACGGCCGACAGAAGGGCGTTGCGTCTTGTGCTCAATCCTAGAACCGGGAACATCCTGCTGCGCGGGGACGGAGTCACCTTGGTCCTCTTTGTAACCTCTGCAGTATGAGCTATATCTGGGGCATCGCTTACCCACAGCCAAGAGGCTGCGTGAACTGCCTCAACCCTTAGCAGCAAGCGGTGGACGGCGTTCAGCTTGTGGGCCTGCTCTTCTGTGATGTCCCTTCCTATGACCCTGTTCTCGCCGAGGTAGTGGTCCACGAGCCCTAGGGGGGTTTCTTCCACGGGTAAAAATCCAAGTTTCAACACTCGAACTACCGATGTTGTGTCCGCGCCGGCGTCAATAATCATGCGCACGATCCTGGGAAAGCACCATCTGTCACCTTCATCTTCAATGCTGCATAGCAGAGGTGTTCTGCCGAAAGGGTCGCGCGCTTCGTCCACGTAGGCACCGGTGGGATTCCCTTGCAGCTGTTGCTGCCGCAAGAGGAATTTGATCGACCCTTCCCGGTTCTCCTTGATCGCGCCGATAAGGGCGATACCCGTGTCGACCACTCCAGCATTAGCCAAAACGGCCATGGTGTCTACAAACTGTTCCTTGGCGGCGTGATAGAGAGCATGTGCGCCCCTGCTAGGACCACCACAGCCGTCGATCCCAAGCTGATCTAAAAACTCGCGTACCACCAGGGAACGCCCTTTCCCCGCCGCCGCGTCCAATGGGACAAATCTATCGCGCGAAACGTTCAGTCGTATCAACAGCGGGTCCGCTTTTGCACGAAGGAAAGCCCGGACCGCTTCCACATGGCCTCGCTCACACGCTATGTACAGTGGGGTCGCTCTATCGAACCTGCGGCTGTTGAGATTCGCGCCTGCCTCGATGAGTGCTTTAATCAGTGCGGCGTGCCCCTTGTCCGCAGCTAGGTGAAGCGGCCTAGAGCCGTTTGTAGAGGTCGCCGCTTCCAGGTCGGCACCGGCGTTCACGAGCATCTTGCAAACAGCTAGGTTGCCGTACTGGGCGCAAGTGAGAAGAGCCGTAAAGCCAAGGTCCGCCACTATCAACACGTTGGCCCCCTCCTTCACCAGAATCCTCACGATGCGCGTATAACCTCTCTGGGATGCTACCATTAGAGGGGTCCAGCCATCAGGATCGCCTTGGTTGATATTAATCAAGCCCGAGGAGAGGATGGCTGCGGTGCGCTGGGTGGAGCCTGTATCGGCGGCAAAATGCAGCTCATTTTTGGGACCTCGAGGCCACTTCTCTTGGGCAGGCATGATCATCTCACTTGCTACAAGGTGTGCTCTCGTAACTCGCTTTATCCTGCGAGAGACAGCAGAGAGGATGACGCCCACACGCCCACACGCCCACACGCCCACACGCCCGCACGCCCGCACACCCGTCTGAGGCTGGCCCAGAGCCCAGGCTATATTCTCCCAATGAGTTTATCACGGAGGGCATTGATTGGATGATGTGGACAGTCCCGTCAACACAAGACACAGCGCAATACGCTGCTACAACCCCCGATATTGTATATTGTATCTGGTATGAGGTTAGAGAAGGTAACGGGCGGTGTCATGATTGCATCATGGCCACGAATCAAACCGATCTCGCATTTAATTCCGCTCGCGCAGGGCCACGGCGAGGCTTGCTTGCTACCATCTCACGAAAACACTAGCGAATGGACTATGGACGTACGTCCTGATCATGGTGGCCTCCGCATGCTACACCCTGACCGGCCTGTGCTGCGTGTGGGCCATGTGGAAGTTGAGGAGAGAGTTTTTCATCGCCCTAAGGTAGACGACGCTGAATGCTGTGAGTGGAATGCTTACTGCACCTCGTATGTAGATAAGCTGATACTTTCAGACCGTAGAAGAGGCACCACACGGGCACTTCTCTGGTCTAGATGCATACCGTAGTGTAAATGCAGTAAATAGTAGACACAGCAGTAATACAACCTTTGATCAGGGGCAAAGCCGTGTAGGGAATCAGCGCGCGGGTCCAAAGTCAATGATTGATGGGGATTGGCATCGATTCTAAGGCTCAGCACTCGCTTTGATACCCTAGACTACTGTATGTAGTTGCCTTGATACTCCTTGGTATGCTTCGTAGCAGTATCGGGTGACCCCCTGAGAGCGATTCAGACAGAGAGCCTTCGCGCCATTTATAGGGTCTGGTCGAACAACAATACTGCTGTAGTAGTCTAGGCTGTGGAGCCAGTTCGTTTAGTTTCTGATTGCTTTGCAAAGAAAGGTCAGAATCTTGGTCCGAAAAACGACTTGAAGTAATAATGTGGTTCCGCCCACAGGAAGCACCCAGGGGCCAGCGCTGCAGACAAAGGTGCTCATCAGGGCTGGCAAGCAACGTCCATGGAAGCTTGAAAGCTTCCATCATGATAGCTTTGAACAACTTAACGCTAACCCTAACCCCCAATGCTATCCTCAAGCTGAACTCGGGTGATATACTTCCACGGAAGTTATGCCTCCCGAGGTATTAGTCAAAACGTCTACAGATAGCGCCCACAGATAAGAAAAGAAACGTCAACGTCGGGTCGAGCCTCAATCCCTTATTTTGGGTCAAAGGGCCAGCCCGAAGTCGTCCCATTTCTGAAAAGGCATTTCTTACTCCTTTGGACTGTCGCATCCCCCTGATTCTCATGTTTCTTTGAAGTACTTCGAATTTCTTATTTCTGCCTTTTGGTTTCTGAGGACAGTCCACTTCTTTCTCAAGACCTCGAAAGAGGCGTGGAGAGTGCCATAAAATCCGTACAGCGGACAGCATGTGGTTGTCCGCGATGTGTAGCAGTACTGCAGTATAGCACAGTGAGCAGCAGGGGCGCGGGGGGCGCCGCGAAAATATCCACTCTCCCCCCTACCATAAAAAACGCACTGGTCAGCTAGGCAGGGGGGTGGGAGAACCGAAGGAGCAGCAGTGGGACGTCTCTTTCTGGACACGCTCCCCCAGCTACCCCTTGTTTCTTACCGTATGTCTTGGGGGTATCTCACCACGATGTTTCTTATTGGGACGTTTCTTATGTTGTGCCCGAGATTGAGCTGTGTGCCGTAGCCCTTTCTTCATAATTTTCGAAAAAAATTGAGCCTTTTATTCCTTACAAAAGTTTTCTTTACTGCGGGCGCTATCTGTATGCTGTGACTTTGATCGAAGAAAAATTCCAGGGTAACTCAGGGAGTAGAACCGCTCCGCGGAGCGGTTTTGTCCTTCTTCAAGTTCCACGGAGCGGAGCGGAGCGTTTTTTTTTCATTTCAAAATGTCACAGAGCGGTGCGGAGCAGTTTATCCGAGGGCAAAAGTCTCACGGAGCGGAGTTTTTTTTTCATGTCACGGAGCGGTTTATCCTTAGTGCGTTTTTTTTCACGGAGCGATTTTGTTTTCTCCGTAGCATAAACCGTGCGAAACCGTAGCCTTGAGGACGGTTTTCCGTCAGGAAAAACCGTTGAAACCGCACGGATATCCGTACAAAATCGACGGAGAACCAGCAATTTCGTGAAGAACGTTGGGTTTGGTGCACCGAAAACCGATTTTCCGCACGGTCTTCTATGGTTGAAGGCCGCCGGTGACACTGTATACGTCCCCGCCGCTAGGACAGCCCAAACAGACCAATAATTTATGTCAATTAACCAATTATTCAGAAAGGGACCGTTCCCCGCATCGATACCTCCTCGACTCCTAGTTCCTGCAACTAGTACAACAGTAGATGATCCCTCACTTGCCTCTCGTTGAAACTTGTCAGTACTCATACCTAATACCTCCTGCTGTGAGTATTATGTTTAATAGAAAAAAACCCCGAAAAAATACTGTGACTCCGTGGAAAAACCGTGACTTCACTCCGGTTTTACCCGTGACTGCATTGTGGTTTTATCCGTGTTCATGTGATGGAGTAGCTCAAACCGCTCCGTGGAAAAACCTCTTGTACGGATTATTGGGAAGCTCCACGGAGCGGAGCGGTTTATCCGAGGGCAAAATTCTCACGGAGCGGAGCGGTTTTTTCTATCATGTCACGGAGCAGAGCGGAACGGTTTTTCTCAAGGGAAAGTATCACGGAGCGGAGCGGCCACACACTTTGAAAATGGTGTAGGAGATCGAGCTCCGTCCACGACCAGCATCCGCTCCCGCCAGAGCTACAAGAGCCCTTCATGTTTGCGTTTCGCGTTTGTTTCTGACGTGCTCCCGATGCTGAAGGGCATCAGTCAGTGTAGCTTGGTACGCCTACAGCCCGCCACGTTTTTAGGACTTGTGGGTGTCCAACCCGGCGCTGAACTGGGGACGAGGCAAGCAGGAAGATCACTTCACACCGGCTTGCATGCAGCAGCAAAACCCATTCGACAAAAATCGTAACTACACGACGCGCCCCTTGAAGACAACGAATTTTATATTGACTTATTTTGAAAAAAATGCAAAAGCACCAGAAAATACAAACGAGACGCACAAGACCAGTCGGAACCCATCGCGAAAAACAGAATCGTTGATTCTCACACAGGGCGCCAGTAGAGGCTGCCAAAAACACACATATAATGAGTCTACCTCCACACGCCTCCTTGAAACCAAGATCAAATATCACACCAGTCTAAATTCAAGTCAAGAGAGCAGAACGGCAGGCCCGTAACTGAGGTCCGTTTTGCAATACATGTAAACCTTATGCATTCTCCTGATGTCACTCGAGGACACCCTATATCAGCGGGGGAGGGTGTTGACGCACTCAAATCAGCTTCTTGCGTGGTGATATCGAGAGTCGTTGTAGCGGCCTACAATCTCCGCAAAATAGGCCAACACCCAGGGTCTTGTACTGCTTGCTCTCGCCGCCACTGATCCGACTCTCCTGACCTGCGGGTTTACTGCAGTCCCCGATGCCACTAGCTACTGGGGACGACTGGCAGTTCAGGGGTTTGCGGTCAATGGCGGTGAGCACGGCTGTGGCAAATGGTGGGTTCCGGCGCAGATAACGGACTGTTTCAGAGACTGCTGCGACCTTCGATATTTCAGCTCGAGTAGCAAACCTGAACGTGACAGCGCACACGACACCTCCCATGGTGTCCTCTACTGATAAACAGTAGAACTAAACGGCGGGAATGTTGCTTTCTTTTTATTACTGAAGCAATTGTGGAAATAGAGCCAGAGTCAGAAAGAGGTTTTCTGCCATTTCGCACGGCGAATATAACAATCAGTTTCTATTCCAAGTCCCATAGATCAGGAGGCCAAGATATCGAAAACGCCGTTATCAGTTTCTATTCCAAGTCCCATACATCAGGAGGCCAAGATATCGAAAACGCCGTTCCGGCGTGCGGAGTCCCGACCTGGGTATCCATCCCAGTAGGGGACACGATGAAGCCGCGGCAAGGGTGATGGCATGCCCAGATCTCTTGGGGCCGTGATGTCCAAGGCTGCAGCTGCGGTCCGACAACCCCGAAAAATTGAGCGCACACCATTCACGACCCACTACTTTACGCATTGTCACAGACCCAAGCCTCCGATTCTGCCAACAGCTGCAGCTAGGTGCGTTGGACGATCAGCAGTGTGGGGGATTGGGTTTGTGACGGCCCGTGCCGCCGAGGATCGCGAATGACCTGGATCCAGATATTTTGCGGACTTTCGGCAGATGCAGCCTTCTACAGCACGCCCCCAGCAACAGATGTGGGCTTGCATATCGGTCATGCCGCTGCTCCGTGGTGTCAACTGTAACGAAAAACGTGTCTCGTACGTGATTGTTGGGTGCTGCCTCGGTCATTTACGACACCAGTCAAAGTCGAGAAACTCTAGGTTAAGAGCCTCTTGTTTTGTTGTACCGAGGCTCTTCATGTACTCTGTAGGCAGCCCATCAGTTACTACATTGTTTAGGGTTTAGAGAAATTTGCTTCACTAAGCACCTGTTCTTTGTATGGTGAAGTCCTGAAGTTTATCTTTCTTGAGCCTTAAATTCATGACTCTTAGGTTCTTTCATTGTGGGCCACTTGTTAGCACGATTTTCAGCGTTCGTTCGGGTTCGTCGACAGAAGTGATTGTAGAGCCAAAACACGTTGGTGTGGGAGAAGTGTTAGTGTGGGTCTTTTATTTGTTCCGATTTCTCATACTTTCGTGTATTGTTGCCTTTGTTCTGTGCTTGATGTAGTGTTTATTTAGCATCATAAACAGTTGGTTACTTCGGTTGGTACTGATTTGGAGCAGAAATGGCTGGTGTCTACCTTCATCGACAGGAGGTGTATTTTATCTATGGCGAGCTAACCGTTGGTGTCCTTCTAGGTTGAGCGAGTGAGTTTCCTTCCTGGAAG